TTGCGAAAACCATTAAGGGCCCCCGGGCCCTTTTATTTTTTCCCCCCCCCCCCGGGTTTTTGGAGAGGTTAATTTTGGGGTTTATTCCCCAGGAGGGGGAGGTAAGTTATGATTTTCCGTTTTTTTTTTTTACCTTTTTAGGTTTTCCCCCCCCGAACAAAGGGGGTTTGATTTTTTTTTAAGAAAAAGAAACCCTTCCCCCCGGGGGGGGCGCGTTCTTTTTTTAAGGGGGAGGAGGCCCTTTGTTTCTTCCTTTTTAAGTTTTTTTTGGCAGAGGGGTTAGGTTACAGCAATTAGGGCCCCTTCTTTAAACAAATTTGTTGTGGTTGTGGTTGTTGACAGAGGGAGGGGGGGGGAAAAAGGGGGGAGGAATTTTCGGGTGTCGGGGAGGGAAAGGGCACAAGGGGAAAAACATGATTTTTTTTTTTTAAATTTTGGGGGGGGGGGGGGGGCAATCAAGGCTCACGACGCCACCCATTCGTGACAGCCGCCGCCCTTGTTGCCCCCTCCCGAGTTTGTGGCCGTCATGTTCGAGAAGGAGAGTCGGAACTCGGAAATTTCCCCCCTTTCCGAATTTTTGCTCCTGTATGTAGGCTGCTGGGGGGAAAGTAGTCCGTAGTGCGGCGACGGGGCAGCGGAGCTAGAATTTATTCCTATTTCGGTGGGGGGGGGGGGGGCTTGCGGACACTCTCTAAATTGTGGAACGTTCAGAGGGGGGGGCGAGACCGATGCTCAGCGACGGGGACCGGCATGGTCGGGAGCAAACGAGGGGGCGATCGACACGCGCCTTTCGTGGGGACTAGTGTATTACGTGCCGGAGATCGGTGCGAAGGCTGTCGCGTTTGTTTGGTGCGCCGTTTTTGAAGAGGACCGACAGAAGTACAGTAGATACGGAGGAAGAGTGGGGGCAGGTCTCTCTTCGGCAACGAAAAATGTTGAAGCAGGTGTCTTGACTCAGCGCGCAAATCAATAGGGGCTGCAAGGCGGACCGGAGTATGCACCCGAAGGAATAATTTCGCAAACAGGGGGCGGGGTGCGTGGGGGGGGAAAGGTGATGCCGCTGGTCTACCTGTGCCGGCACGTGGCGGTTACCTTGCGGGGAACTGCTGGTTTGGTACTTGTATCTACCAGCATTTCCGGCCTTTACGCTCGTGTATAGTGCTGTACGACGACCAGAGCGAGAGGGCGGGGGGGATCGCAATAGGCAGGGTGTTGACCGTGTAATGTATACTAAGACGGGGCTGATGGTTTCTGCCACCGTAAATGTCACGTGCTGCCTGCTGCCCCTTGGTTTGGCACACTGTTCGCGCAATATGTGTACGAAGACTTGGTCGGTCGGTATGTGATCTGCGCAATGTATGTACCAAGAAGGCTTGGTCCAAGCGCCTGGCGAAGTGGTACGGTTTTGTTTGGTTTCGGTGTTGCTGTTGCTTCGGAAGCCATGCTGCGAATGAAGCGCCTTCGCCGTTCTCAAGCGGGGCGGGTGGGTGTGAGAAAATTCTTCTTTGTGCATTGGTTGGATGTCGCCACACACAATTGTTGACAAAAAAGCAAGTTGGAAATAGTGTTGACCACGGCAGCGACAGCCGGGTCAAGGTCAGAGGGTGTGTTGTGTTTCATTGTGGCCATCCATGCTACTTGGTACGCTCGTGTTGTGTTTCAATGCGGCCCTTTCACAACACCCCTGGTACGGTAGTCGATTCGGCTACATATCAAGCATGGGGCAATTTGTACGATTTTCTTCACCAGACTCGGTCGGTGGTGCTGCGTGTTGTTGGCGCATCGCGTGCTTGTCTCTTTGTGTCTGTCTTCTCGCCTCCAGCATAGACTTGCCACAGCAGTCGTTTCCGTATCGCATGGGAGTCTGCGGTAAAAGCAGTAGCGTCCCATTCGTTTTGGGTGGTCTCCTCCTAATGACAGTCAGTCGTTATTTCGTTGCCCTGCGTGAAAGTATTTTTAAGTTTGTTTTTGCCAGACAGGCGTGTTGGTCGGTTTGCGTGTGGTTTTTGTATTCTTCGTACAGCTCCAAGACACAGGTCCGATTTGTGTTTGGGTGTGCGCAATTTTTCGTTCCGCATCGAATCGAGCTTGGACATATTATTAGTGGCCTGCTTTGTTCCAAAGTGTAGATGAAGATATTTAGTACATCTGTCCGCCTTTCCCTCCATTTATTCCATTTTTCGTGTCTCTTGCCGAAAACGACAAAGAAAGGCACCTCTTGGTTGGAGAAGTCGAGCCCATCCATTGTAACTATTGACTGCTCTGTTTTTAATCCGTAGCTTCGGGTTAGTTTGTGACCACGGAAATTCACTTTCGGCCTCTGAAAGAGCATGGAAATCAGTCAGTGTGAGAGCGTGTGTGAGAGGAGTCATCATCACCGGATACTGGGTCGTCAACAAAGTGGTCGACGAAGTGTGCACATGTAGACGGTTACTGCTGTAGACTACATCGGCAACAACAGCAAGTCAGTTTATACCGTGTTTGGGAGAAAGTGGCAGACAGTTGGATTGTATGACTGAACAAACACACCATCAGACGATCGCACGGAGTTGGAATGACTCTGAAGCGCGATAACTTACACGCCGTACAGAGTGGAGCACAAGACAGACGACCTGGACACCAAAAAAAAATCGGAAAAAAATCAGAATGGCATGTTGAGCGTGTGGGAGACAAAACTTAAACTTTATTTTTGCATCTACACCAGACACACATGTGGAGCGCAGTAAAAGCATTTTCACATGACCCCGGCTGGTGCGTCCAATCACACCGAAAGCTGTCACTAGCCGGTGGCCAACAAGAAGAGAGACACGCTGGGGAAAAGAAAATTGAGAAAAAGATCGACGGGCGATACGATGCCGTTTCGTGTGTAACTGTCGGGCTGATCGTCTCTCTATACATGCAGCGATACTGTGAAGACAGCAACAACAACAACTGCTGTAGTACAGCAGTGAAAGCTGTCGGTGTTGTCTTGATGTTTTGTTGTGTAACTTACCTTGGGGGAGATAGTACGGGAATGATATGTTCAGCAAAGGCTTTCGAATCGCTGCCTGAAAAAGGAACAACACGACGGCGAACGGCGAAGCTACCGGGTAACTCTTCCCGTGGGAGGTATCGCGAATAGCTTTCACAGCCTAGCTATTTATCATCATCGGTCATGAACTTGCCACCAGGATGGGATAGCGGAACGGATGCCTCCGGGCGTGTCTACTGTGAGTACTGATGCTCCTACTTAGTCCCATGCCGGCGAACTGCTGCTGTAGGCACCGGCTCAAGTCATCTTCCAGCAGGTCTTCTTCCTGTAGCTCCCTCTTGAGCATTCGAGGAGGGACGGACGTGTTGTCCCACGTAGTGTAGGTTGTGTGCACGTCATCCCTCAACAAAGAACTGAACTCAACAGCAAAGACTACAGTAGTGTATCATCAATATTCAAACGGCTGAAATTCGTTTGTCGAGTCCTTTACAATGGTACCTTCTAAAGTTAGATCAGACCAGACTTGTAGGCTAATATTTACTTGTCTGTAATATTACGAAGGGCAAAATCCGGCCCCCAGATTCGTCATGTTCGTCATTACCACTGTACTGAATGTACTGCCCTATGTAAAGGGGTGTCTTGAGATGTCCCTAGAAGGGATGCCTCTCCTCCCATGTGCAGCTTATCAGAATGGAGGAGGTGCTCACACGCACGGCTCTCTGTGCGTGTGCGGCCGCCGTCGGTGGAGAGACAATCGCCACAGCAGTAGAGTCCCGGGAGGTGTAGGCTCAGTGTCGCACAGATTTGGTCGAGGTGCCGGACCTCACAAGGGGCTTAGCGAATGAATGGTGATCGGTAGAGAGAGATACACAGGAATCAAAGCTCTTGTGTCTGTTGCATCGGGTGTGCTTTGCCCAGCAGCAACCGTAGAAAGAAGGCGCAGAGATATTGGCCTGTGTGTTAGGGTTGTGGGCACGTGTAGCGTATCACTACGGTTGCTTGCAACGAACAGCCTAACAAAAAATAACTGTTGTTCTACCCCTGCGACACTTCCTATGCCAGACGTAAACCATCAAACTCAACAGACCCAGTGGGATCCTCCTGCCTCACCCACCGCCAGTGCACCGCCGGCAACCTACCAACCACCGGGTAGTAGCGTCTACCCCGCACAAGTGGTGCAGGCCACTGCCGTGCCAGCCGTTCAGAAAGTTGACACAGTCCACCAGCAGCAGGCCGTCCACCAAAATCAACTGGTGCAGCAGGTAACATAAGATTTCATCACCAGGTGCTGTCTTGTATCTCGCAATGCAGTAGACGGTCGTCTCTGCGCTACAGTAGTCCATCGGTATATCGCACGATGTACATGCATACCGCTCACTGCCGGCTGTTTCATGTTCTTGCACCGTCTACTGCTTTCACACGAACACCTGCTGCCGGGTTCCACTTTTCCGCGCGACTTTTACCACGGTACGTCGGCGTGCAACCAACTCGGGTTGATACCCCGCGTCAGCAGCAGCCTGGCATCGGCCCTACGGTAAGTGAAGCCTGACGGGTCAAGTTCAAACCACCAGGACAACTTTAGCATGTGGTCAATTGGACTTTCGTCTTGACGGGAGAATAGCTCCGCCCCCCAACGCCCCCGGCAAAACTCGGCGAAAAACGGCGGGCACGAAACACCAATGCGAAAGGGGGGGGGGGTTCCGCCACGTCTTGGGCACACATATGTCCAAGTACGTCCGACGGTTGGCGGCACCCCATGCTGAGCAGGAATGGTGCTGACTCTCGAAAGCGATGCGCGGTTCATTGAAGGATGACGGCAATCCAACTCATGAATACGTTTGCCTGAGAAAATCTTTCTGGACCTTGGCTGGCATAATGAAACCTTATTGTGTTCGGGCACGTTCTGGCGAAACATGAGCAGATAGTTGTGGTGCAGGAGACGGACAACACTCCTCCGAACGCCCCTCCAGGCGGTGCATGGGTCCGAGAGAAGTACTGCGGCATCGTCACGTGCTTGATTGCCATCGCATTCTTCCCTTGTATTTGCTGCTGCCCGTGCGACGAACGACTGGTGAGCGACTGCTGTGTTGCTTCGGCTAGTAGTATCGACCGCCTTAATCGGCTGGCCACCTTCATGTAATCCCCTAACAACGGCGATAATTTCTCCAAGCTGGAACGTGCATCGGGAGGAACTGCTGGAGACACGTGGTGTGTTTCCACCACCTTCAGAATAGTTTGACTAGACGTCGAAACAGAAAACTACAGTAGCATATGCATACTTTTTTCCCACTTCCTTTCCTGGGGCTTGTCACAGCTTGAACAACCAGTTTTTTTTCGGTGAAGATGGCATGAGCAACGTCGTACTCACAGCCACAGCGGATAAGCGGTCGTTGTGGTACTGCCGTGTAGGTGGTGGTGAGGCTGGCGTAGGTAGCTCGCAGGATTGAACGGGTGAGTGAGGCCCTCGCTCTCACTACGTAGTCCTCGGGGTCAATTTTTCGCCCCTCTCCTCCACCCCCGATCAACATCAATGCCGCGTGTTTGACGTTGTGAATCTGACGAAGGTTTACGTCGCGGGTGGCAAGAAATACAGCCAGTCCGGCGCAATTGTTACGGAGTGCTGCTGCTGTTAGGGAGAACGGGATATTGGGAGGCTGAATCGCCAGCTTGAAG